AGCATGCTTCTGAGAATGCATATGCTGAGTATTTTTAAGTGCAAATAACTCTTCTTTTTCAGCAATCTTTCTTCTCCACTATTCTCCACTGGGATCTTGGATTTCAGATGGCAACAGTTATGGAATGAGATTACCTGTTCCTTGGATTCAGCCATGCTAGAGTTTATGCAAAGGAGATCAGTCATATTGTGTTGTTTCCATGGGCACAGGCTTCATGGGAGCAGTAAAGGCAGAGCTCCTTCTGAACTCTGCTGAGGGAAGAAACCCAGAGTCAAAGCCAGTCCAAGTAAATAAAGTCACATATACAAACATCTGCTTCTTTGAATTTAGGGATGCATGAACAGGGTTGGTACCCTTGCCACTTGCTCTACTCTCTGCCTCAAGCTCTAGGAAATTTTAATTTCACAAGACATTCTGGTATCAATTACACTGGAAAGAAGGCCTACCCAGGCAGGCATCACCATCAATGAGATAAGAATCTGTCCCAACCTGTACTGCAGCACAACCAGCATTTATTTAGCTTTTCTCTTGAGCACTGACACTTGGTATTTCTTACTTTGAACAAAGCTATCCAGACTGATTGACTGTCTCCAGAAAAGCAGCAAATAGCTGCTTATATCCTGATTTCTGTGATTACAGTCTGACTCAAGAACCCATCATCTCAGTTCTAGTTATGGATCAGGCATCTTTGTGCCCCAGGAAAGCTGTTTAGTTTCTTTGTTCTCACCTCCTCTCACTGTCAGGATCTGGAGAATGACCAAGTGTTTAAGATGCAGTTTCACAGAAGCTGTTACAGAACAGCATCATCAGGCTGTACTTTTAACACAGCCTGAACCAATCTAAGCTGCAGGCCACCACAGACCTGCTCTCTCCTTGCCTCAGAGTGCCACACCCCTGCTTGGCACTAACAGAACTGACACCAAGAAAGTTATTAACTTTCTCACCAGCTCTCAGAGCAAAGATGGCATTACATGAGGACAGATAAAGGCCAGAACTAGCAAATGGAAAGGCAAGTAGAAATGTGTGGCCAATTAGATCAATTTCAGTCATCACAGGAAGAGCATAGATTTGGTAATCTTTGAATCTTATTAGCATCTGAAACTTTTTTTTAAGTGCAAGTATTAGATGCAGTATGGAAAGTGTGAATGGAAGGCCAGATCAAAGTCTCTGAAAGAGTTTTCACTATTAAAGCTAAACAGAGCCTATTGGGAAAGGACAAAATTAGACTCCTTTGTATTATGAGCAGAGGAAGCTCTGTTGTTGCCTGCAGCAGCCCTCACAGCCAGAAATGGAAGGCCCAGAAGCTGAAGTGAGGTGGCAGATAGATGAGATGGGTCCTCTAGTTGGAAGAGCACTAGAACAGAAGGAGTGCAGCTTGTCCACACAGCAAGTCAGAAGCAGAACTAGATAGCTGCCCTTCCCTTTTCCTATAGACTCTTTAACAATTTTAGCCATTCAGTCTAGTGCTTTCTAGGCTAAGCATCTGTTAGAGCTTATTTTGGCTCTGCTTCAGGTCACAGTCTTGTTCTTGGGAAGGTATTTTGCCAAACGAAATAGAAACCTTTTGGCTACAGTGCTTGTGAGTAGATATTTAAAATATTGTTTTTGTCAAGGACAACTTCTTTTGATGGGTTGCAAAAGGGCCAAATTCAATTTGATACATTATTACAATCCCAGGAAGCTCTGGTTTGTATTGATTAAAGGACAATGAAATCAAAGATTTCACTTTAATGAAGCAATCTTCCAGCCTTTGCAGAAGTTCTATCCCAAAACTCAGAAACTGTGGTGACACAAACTGGACATTGCTTAAAACAATTAAGCACCATGTTCTCTTTGCATAGCATGTGTCCTATAATTTGACTTCAGCTGACAAAACAAATGTGTTTAGCTACAGCTAAGATACATTCAAATCAGTACTGCTACGAACCCACAATCAGAATTATGTCTTAGGAAAGGCTTGCTGTTACACAGGAAACACGATTCTAGTGCCCATGCTGAACAAAGATGATAAAGTCTGAACATTCTCTAACATCAGCCATGTTAACTACTGCTCTGTGCTCCAAGTCACTCCACAGACAGGTGTATCTGCTTGAGTACCTCAGTTGCAGTAGAATATTGAAATACTCTTCCCATTATATTGACATGCAACACAACAGCATAGAGAGCTGCCATGAGAAAGCAGACAAAAAAAGTATATAAAAGGTTTCAAGGAAAATTAATAAAAAGAGAATGAAGAAGTGTTCCAGCCTAAAAAAAAAGTTTCTGCAAAACTCCAGCTGACATGCAGTCTCATCACCTTTGGAGAGTTCTGCTCCAGGATTCACAGTCATTCAAGGGTAACAAACACTTCAAGGTGAAGTTTTGTTACTTGCTGCAGCCAAACATCAGCAGCTCTACAGTTCTTAAGCAACGACTCACACATTTCTGTGAACCTTTATATACCCATAAAAAAGTACAAGGTTCCCACAGAAATGAGAAGTATGTTCCACACGTTACCTTTCCCCCCACAGCCCTCAGATTTACTGTAGATGATAGCATGACTGATCATCTGACTAACATCTGTCCAACATCTGCTTTTTAGGGAAACCACTCTGTAAATATAATTAGCTGGCTCTAGGCTACCATTATTCATAATGAATACCCTCCTGTATATTGAAGCTATCACTAAAAAAGATAAAAGATAAAAGATTCAGCATACTGACTCAGAGCCTGAGATCTCTGGTAGGGGGTTGCCATCAGCTTTTAACACTCAAGTATCCTAACAATCCCCTAATATGTGAAAGTAGACTCCAGTAACTTGTCTTGACAGTCAAAAGAAAAAAGAACCTAAAGCTAAACCCAGAAATTATTGCAAGATTTGCAACAAAATTATCTGCTTGGCATCATACTTCTGATGGCAAGACAGTAGCCTGGCACTTTACACAAGAGAAAGGGTTCAGGGCTCAGGACAGCTATAAAAAGAGCTGAAGGTGCTTCTGTTATTTTAATGGCCAGAGCTTGCTACAAACTATAAAACTACATTTAGGATCCCTCTTCTGTCCCCTATGCCTAAAGGCATAGGTAAGCTGAGCCAAACCACTGACTATTCCTGATTTCTGTCTGAACTGTGAACCCTTTGGAGCTATATAGCCTTTTGTGTCTGTATATTTCTATACAGAAATAATATTTCAGTCTGCCAGAAATATAGATCCCAGACTCAAGAAAGCTACTGAAGCTTTAAGGTGCCATGACCCAAATTCTCTTTGCAAAGTCAGTTTCTTGCAAACTCCCTCTAGACTCATAAATATAGTTCTGTTTCAAATAACATGATTCTATTTAATGCCTTCTGCATTTAAACTCATAATCCTTTAATAACTTTGGGAATATTTGAAGATATTAAAAAAACAAAAAAAAACAAAAAACCAAAAAAAACCCCAAACCACAACCAACCAGAAAGCAGTCGGGCATCCCTAAAGTTGATAGTTTATATAAATAAGCCATAGGACAATAAAAGGCCAGACTGACCATAGTAATAACTCCCAATGCTGACTTGAAGAAATTAAAAGCAGACCAGGAAGCTTAATTCTAAATGTGTTTTCAATTGATCTTTGTTCCTGACTGTGTTTAATGGTTAGCTGTTTGAGAAACCCTCTGGGGTTCTGTTCTGCTAGTTGATTTCAAACTGGGAAACAACAAGCAGTACCACAGAGAGAGAAATGCTTTTCTTTTCAAGAGAGTAAATTTAAACACAGAAAAAAAAAAAAAAAGATTTCTAGCAGAGCTAGATAAGGGAAGGTGACAAGGCATGGTGAGGGATATCTCCCACAAATGTGCCATTGGCAGAAGGCAGCCTTGCTGATAGCTACAGAAACAAATGGCTGGGATGATATTTCGGTGATGGATCAGCTTGTTTTTTATTCCAATGCAAAAATAATAAAAATATATGCAAAGGAATGTAATTCAGAATAGCAAATGGCAAATACCAAAAGTTTGAGAGGATTAGAACAGAGAATCCACAGAAAATCTAAAAATAACTGTGAAAATTCTGAACTTCTCATGTCAAATTACACTGTAAAAGCTGTGAAGTTGTAGCTGCAAATAGATATTTGACTTTTCAAAATGGGTCTGGAAATGAAACCTGAACAATCCATTTAAGAGTGTTTATGTACTCCCCTCTTTGCCACAACAACAAGTTGAGCAGTGCTGTGAAGACCTGTGATTGAGCTGGAGCACTGGGCAGCTGGAATCAACCAGCCTGATGCAGTTCACTCAGCCAATGCTGTATCATGCTTTCTGATGCAGAAAGGCAAATTGGCAATCAGAATGTAGAAAGTGAATTCATATGTCAGTGCTCATGGTGTTTCAAATCTAGACAGATTGGTTAGGACTGCATTTAGCAAAGAGCAAGGTTTGATACAAGATGAAATCAAATGTTGCTACTGCACCTGAGATCTCAGCAGCATGAACTCATCTCAGCTGAAGAATTATTTATAATTGGGAAACAATATGGACACAATACTCTTCTCCTTAAGCTAGCTGAAAACTTCCTCTCTTTCCAAAATGCACAGTCTCTGGGTCAGGAAATGCTCTCTTCAGCTTCCTCTCAAAGCTGTTTGCTCAAAGGGTAAAGTCTTTCCTACCTTCCTTCAGTAAACTGTCTGTGCATATCCTACATATAAACCTATCCTCTACAGTATCATCAAGTCATATTTTGCAGAAGTGGAAAACTGAGATCTAAAGGTTAAATGACTCCCCCAAAGCCAGTGGAACAGACAGGAGGATAATACTATCCTAGTTGTTATCAAACACTTCACATTGTAAGAGCTAAAGCACTACCCAAAGCATGTCTCTGACATTTTTTCAGTTCTATGGATGCCTTGCCTTGTCATCCAAATGCCAGTAACAGAAATGCATTGGGCCCTCAGGTCTCCCAGGCTCCTACACAGAAACTGTTCCCTGGATTTTATTCCCCCTGTTCCTTTCCAGCTCCTATTTCTATATGTAAATCAGTATCTTCTTACCTTCTCCCTCACTGCCCACTTATTCATCCAACATATCGTGATGCACCTGCCTCAAACTGGAAAAAACCTGTTGAGCTGTGAAGGGACAGAAAACTGTCAGACCCTGGTGATAAAAAAATCATATAATTCTTGGAGTTCACAAAACAACAACACTTCTGCCATTCCATATCTTGGCAGTCTTCCCTCCACCATCAAATGAAATATGTATTTTCCATTCTAGTTACTTCACTTCTGCATGTATATTTTGTCTCAAGACACCAAAGCACATGTTTGTGCTGAATGACACAGCAAACATTGCCAGTCTCAAAAGTCTTGTTCAACACTTTTGAGGATACATGCAATTTTGGTCTGGGCTGAAATGTACAGACCATGGTCATTTTGACCCGTGCCATAAAGGACACCAAGGAAAAGGACATGCTTGCTGGTAGGAAAAGCTGTAAAGTGATTGTATAAGAACAAGGGACTGGAAAAAGAGACTGTCTTCCCAACAAATAGCACACTGACACATTAGCTGTTAGAAGTGCTAGAAATTTTTAACATTTGAATTCTGCCTGCACAAGGACTTTAACACCTATGTGCTATCAGTGGTATTACACTTAATTTTATTTGGATGTCAGGTATTCAAGGACACAGCTCTTCTCTGTTACAAATGCTTTTAAGTCAAACACAGTGGCAGCAAGTTACCAGACAAAGGAACACTGTGTTTAAGGCTGCCTGCCAGAGATTACTTATTCAAGTTGATTAGATGGAAAGGACAGTAGTGCTGCCACATTTCTAACCCATACTCCCTGGGGAAGAAAAAAAAGCCAAGAGTCATATCTAGGTTTTCTTCAGTTCTCACTGCATGGGGGAGGTAGGAAGAACATTATATAAAGACACAAAGTTTGATCTTGCAGAGTAGTGGACCTAACTGCTTTGCTAGGTCAGTGCAAGCACATTCTTAGTTTTAAGTACAAGTAGTACATAAAATGCTTCTCATTCGAAAGCTGACTGTCCATGATTTGAGTCAAAAGCAGAAAATAATCATTATTATAGATCATCAAGAAGCAGTAATGTCTTGAGAGATTGAGGAATTTACACTCTCATCAAAGACCCAAACCACCTTTCATTTTCATATATTTCAGTAAAATTTGGGGTTATACTATCATATATCACATCTTAAGGTAGCATAGTATAAACATGCAAAAGTAAACTTCTCCATTACATTCTTATGGGAAATTAAGGTAGGATTTTATTAATGATGAGGAATTAAGATAGAATTACAGTAAAATTAACAAATTCTACCTCAATCTTAATGTTCCTAACTTAAGAAATAAGCTGCTGTGTGAAATACACGTAATAAACACTGGTGGGAAAACCTGGATGCACAAATTCTCACTTATGCAACTCACTTCAAAGCCACAGAGTGAAGTCAGCAATTAATTAGCACTAAGTGGTTACCAGGCTGTGGAGTGCTGGCGGCTCTCACAGCGCGCTGGTGTCGGAGGCGACCGGAGCCGCAGTGCCAGCGGTGGTCCCCTGGTTCCAGCGGTGGTCCCCTGGTTCCAGCGGTGGCCCCCTGGTTCCAGCGGTGGCCCCTGGTTCCAGCGGTGGCCCCCTGGTTCCAGCGGTGGCCCCGCGGCTCCGGCCCGAGCCCCGCTGTTCCCGCGGGCGGCGCGCGCCCTCCGGCGGGGAGCGCCGTGCATCCCCCGGGAATGGGGAGCGGCCCCGGAGCGCCGGCACTGAGCCAGCTCTCACCGGGGGAAGGAGCTTTCCTCCGGCAGCACCTTCGGTAAGATCTGTCGGTGTCCGCACCATAAAATACACTGCTGCGTTTACACAGAATATTAGAAGTAGCGTTTTCAGTCAGGTAACTCACCCAGGGAAATAGGGTGAACACTGTACAGACTATGGGAGAGGAATGGGGTGCGACAACAGAAGACTCTTTCAGAATATCATAGAATCATAGATTCATTGACGTTGAAAAAGACCTCTAAGAGAATCAAGTTCAGCTCTTAACCTGTCCCTACCAAGTCCACCACTAAGCCATTTCCCCAAGTGCCACATTGACACGTGCTACTTCCCTGTTCCAATGTTTGACAACTCAGTGAGTAGATTTTTCCTAATATCCAATGTAATCCTGGTGCAACTTGGGGTTATTTCCACTTTGGGAATAAAAGCAGATAGCCATGGATCCCAGCAGTATGCAGTGACTTACAAAATTACAACAAAAAAGCACACCACCAAACTCACCTTCTCTTCTTGAAGAGTTATTAATAACTTGTTCCAAGTTATTGCTGATACATTCCCACTAAAGCCTGAGAGGTTATGGTACTGCAACATCAAAAATCTGCCTTTCAAATCAAAATGCCATTTACTGTGGTTTTTAAATGTAGTTCACCCATCTTTTTTTGACAGGTCTCTCACTGGTCATTGGAAGCAGTGAAACTCTACATTCAAGAACTAAATAAAAAATACGTATTTCAACAATTTAAAAATTTCTACACTTCTCTGAGCCAAACGTTTGTACCATTTGGAATTTGCCTGGGGTTTAGGACACTTTTTTATATCCACAGCCATTCTTTATTGAGTCTGTTTCTATTTTCCCTTCCTCAGTACAAAACTCTGACCATGAAAGTATCTGTTGCCCTACACATGCCAGCCTGTGGGCATTGCTCTCTGTTAGTTTCCACTGCAAGTTTTATTGTGTACTTTACTTTAGCTTGGATCTCTATATTTCCATATAGTGACTAAAAAGCACCAGGCAGCCCCCCGTGTGCTATTTTTGATCACCTAATGACAGCTTCAATTGCCAACTTTAGCAAAGGTAAATTCTTTTATCAACATGGCATGCAATTGACACTATGCCTCATTATTTTTAGGTGGTATTTGGATTTTCACTCTAAGCATTACCTCAGTAGTCCTACGTGTCAGTGTTATTTCTCTGATAATTAAGGTGGCTCCATAAAACCTTACACAAAAGCAGGGAAGGGCTTGAATCCTTTTTGCTGAAATGATGAGGCTGAGTCAGCTGATTCATTGTGCTGGGAGCTGGTGGCTGTCAACAACTGTATTCCATCTGCTGGCAATCCCAAATGCACGAGTATCTAAGACATTCAGTGAAGACTTCATAAGGGAACTATTATCTTTTTTTTAATAGGAAAATACCTAAGACAACCCCCCAAACAAACAAACAAACAAACAAACCCCTCACAACCCAACACCTGAAACCATTGTCCATGACTGCCCCATATAAAATTCCTGGATAGAAGGCAGAACTAATGGATCCCTGCATGCTTTAACCCCAGGCAGCAGCCAAGCAGGACAGTCTCTCACTCACAGCTCCACCAGTGGGATGGGGAAGAGATTCAGAAGGGTAAAAGATGGAAAATTCATGGGTTGAGATACAGCTTAATATGGCAAGCAAAAGGCACACATACAAGCAAAACAAAACAAGGAATTAATTCACTGCTTCCCATGGACAGGCAGGCGTTATGAAGCCCACTAATACAGTCAAGACACCAGGAAGGTGCAAGAGAGAGCCCTTTATTGCAAAAAACAGGCCTTTTAAACAGTTAGCCCCTTATCAGGTACATTCCATTTAAGCACAGCAAACGTAATTCAACCAACCACCATAAACCACAATGTGAGCACCTAATGGTTATATAACTTGTTTTTCTACCTCCAATTCAGCTGAGCAACTTTCTCAAAGTCCTCTTCTACTTAGCCAAAGTAGCATGCCTGAGCCGTGATTTTACAGGGGTAACAAGGTCCTTATTTTATAAGGTTTTATTTATATGCAACAGGCAGGTGTTCAGCCATCTCCAGGAAAGCAGGATACCATCACCTGTACCCATTACTTGGGAAGACAAAAAGCCATCACTCCCAACATCCCCCACTTATTCCTCCTTCTCCCACTTTATATACTGAGCATGATGTCATATGGTCTGGAATATCCCTTTGGAATATCAGTTTGGGTCACCTGAATGTGTCTTCTTCCTTGTAGACAGAATGTACAACAGAAAACTTCTCTTATAATAAAGGAATAAAAATATCATATTCAACCCCATGAAACTAACCAGATAAAACTACATCCTGAAATGATGAATCAAATCAATTGTAGATATTTTACCTGTAATGCAATGTAACAAATATCCCCTAGAGCAAGAAATGATGTTAATTCCAGTAATACAAACAAGATAAGAAGATGGCTACTGATAAAGAAATAACACACCATCAGTGAAAATGCAGCTGACGTGACAGCAAATGCAATAATGACTCAGTCACAATCAAGGACTATAAAGAAAAATCATACAAGAGCAGAGCTTGGGGATAATTACATTCTCCACCAAAATCAGATGCAGGGTAATCTAGCAAGAGAAACTGTAAAATTGGAAGGTCCTGAGTCACCATGATGATCCATGTGCACATGAGAATGTGTTTTCTGTGTCCCTCTAGGCAGGCAGATTCTATTGCAGTGGGGTAGTATCTGAACATCGTAGTCATATCAGTAGATGGATGCCAAGTTTTCCTCAGTAGGCACCATTGATAAGTGTATCTACCCTCCTCTAAAAGTAAACTGATACTTTGTGAAACAATATTAATTATAAAGGTTTTCATTTTTCAGCAGTCACTTAGCAAGGAAAAGAGTTTTGTAGCTTGGACACATCTGCTCCAGGCACAAACTCAATTGATTTTCTTATCATTAGATTTATACAGTCTTTGTATTAAGTGGGCTTTGTATGAGCCAACTACTGATCTTTGATTTTTGAGATACAGGCTATCCATCTTCACTCACTACATACAGTCTCTGGCACCCTGTGCAGCAACTTGATATCAACATATTAAAAGAAGGTAACCACAGTTTCTAGATTTGAAGCACAACTGCTGCTTCATATTAAGTTGCCCGATTTTTAAGGTGAAAAAAAAAATATAAAATATATATAAAAATATATAAAATATAAAATATAAATAATGGGCTCTTATAGAGCCTTGCTTGCTCCACATGACTCTGCAGCTGACTATGTCAAATTAAGCACCAAGCCCAGTTTGATGCAAACAAGAATGAGATCAAACAACTACTCTCTAACAAGAACACCTCACACATTAGACTTCTCAATGACACATCAAAGCTCTGGGAACTGAAACGTTTTAAAGCTTTATGCAATTTGACCCAGTCATACCCACAAGAAATGAAGGTTGCACGGAGAAAGCCTAAGAATAGGAGATCTAGTTTTTACTGGCACACAGACCTGGAAGTGCTTTTATGAAGAGATAAAATCTATTCATGCTCCCATGCATTAGCTCTCCTTTGTAGTTTTGAAAGGTGTTCCCCATTTATGTAAGAGAAGCAAACTACTTCCACGTAAGCAAAATGTGTGATCCTTTTATTGAGGCGCTTCTTTTATACTCAGGAACCTTTTTCAATGACATAGTTGAAACTGCTCATTAATTGATGACGTTCAGGCTTCAGCTAATGAAGCAGAGAAAACTCCAAAAGCCATCCATCGTGATAAAATGGTTAACAAAGAGAAAACAAAGTTCTGAAAGGATCCAGTCTTCTTAGCAGCTATTGAAAGCATACATGTTTCATTTCACAGATTATCCTCAGGTGGGAGGGACCCACTGTCCAATTCCTGGCCCTGCACAAAACCATCCCCAAGAGTCGCACCCTGTGCCTCAGAGCAGTGTTCAAACTCTTGTTGAACTCTGTCAGGCTGGTGCTGTGACCACTGCCCTGGGGACCCAGTTCCAGTGCCCAAACTCCCTCTGGGTGAAGAGTCTTTGTCTAATATCCAAGCTAAATCTCCCCTGGCACATCTTCAGGCCATTCCCGTGGCTCCTGTCAGTGTCACCACAGACGTGGGTGCCCGCCCCTCCGCCTCCCCTCAGGAGGAAGCTGCGGGCTGCCATGGGGTGTCGCACCTCAGCCATACACACGGGCCACTACAAGTATCGGGCAAGTGTCATCCAGTAAGTGAATCTGTTGGGTAGTCACTAAACCTTGGACAGGCGTAACCAGCATTTCCTCTCTACAGAACACTTGACAACCACTTATTCTTCTATGGAGGTAATAAAGACTAACAGCACTTGCCCGTTTCACAGGGCCAAGCCCACAGGGGCTGGATAGCCCAGCACTACTGGAGCACGTTCCCGGGCGCCGCGTTTGCAGCTCCATCACCTGACAGCCGTGAGGCAGCCCCGGCCGCCTGCGCCCCCACGGCGCACTGAGCCCCGCGGCAGCGGCCCTGCCGTGCCCAGCCCGCCCGCACGAGGGCGCTCACCCGGCCCCGCCACGGGAGCGCGCAGCCCGGCACACCGGGCGCGGCCCCGCTGCCTCCCTACGCAGCGCTGAGCGGCATCTCCGCAGCCAATAAACGGCCTCAAAGACGGGCGGAGAGGGCGCTGCTGGCCAATAGGAGAGCGGACAGCGGGGAGGCGGGGAATGCGAGAGCCCAATTGAGAAACTTTCTGTCCCCGGGAGGGTGGGAATAAGAG